AGTGATAAATATCAACTTTGTGAGTGACCCCACCGGGAATTGAACCCGGAACCTTCTGCGTGGTAGGCAGTCATACTAACCACTTCGCCACATCGGTTGTGTTACCTTGTATAGATGGTATAGTCGTATAGTTCTGGCGAGAGCCATTTATTAGAGTGGTATTGTTTATGTTATGACTCAGCTACATACGTACGGCCTTAGAAGAGCAGTGTGCAATATTCTAATGGAAAGAGCATGCTTCTTACCGCAGCTGTATCTTACCGGTTTTTTTATTTCAGCAAGCTTTAGACATTTTACAGTGTTTCTCGAGAACAGATTTTTCATTGCCTTAGATCTGTCGAAAAACTGATTGATTTCATTCGTAAGTGCTACCCAGAGATGTGACTTTAGTATCAAAAGATCGGTTTCTATTAAATCGATTTTATCGGAAAACATCAATTTTGTTTATTATCTTTTTCTCGGAGGCTTGTACCTGCCTACTTCTTTCGATATTTCTTCTTTCTTATATAATTATTTTTAGAAATATAAAAGAAATAGGTACCTAAATATTTTTGAGATCATGCCCGTCATCATTGTAATAATAAATGTTGCTCTACCATAAATAAAAGTGCACTTTATTACAAAACTTCATTTAAAAGTTTCTTTGTCAATCAAAATCACTAATCCAGCGATCTACAGGCTCTTTGCTTTACACACATAAAGTCCGTTTGGACGTTATTTTTGTGCTGCGTAGCGTAACGCATGCGTAGGGACAATACGAATATCAACCTTATTCACGTCAACGCAGCGTTGTGCGATATTTTTGCGTTAACGGATGCGTCTGTCAAACCGTTTCACATAAATCGTATTTAAGAGTGAAAACAAGTAGATGTGTTAAAAACAAAAAACCCGACTGCGGTAATTTTAAAGCAGTATTTTGCTGTCAAAATTCGCCATCATGGTTTTTTTAAATATAGCCAGTGTCACTCGCGCTACTAAGACGAATCTAACGACAGTTCATATGTCAAAATGCAACTATACGATTGGGCTGTAGCTTGTGAAAAAGAATTTTCCTGTCCACATACATGCGTACTTACATACCTACATACATACATACTCTCGAAAAACATAACCCTCCTTCTGAGGCAGTCGGGTAATAAGGTTAATAAAAATAGTTTTATTCAAACGCGAGGGATAGCGCTGCGCAAATTTTTCTCATAAACGGATGTTATCTGTGTATACGGACGCCTTAATCTACCCATGTAAATCGTATCCCACCCAAAACATAAATGTGAAAGGCTGCCAAGTTCGATAATATTGGAATGCTTCGCCTATAAAAGAAGTGAGATCTAAATAAGTACCAAGTTCCATACACAGACCTCAGTTAAAAATAGTTACAGGAATGCACACTTGATTTTCCGCAGTTTGGAAAGTAGATTCTGAATAAATATCATATTAAATACCTAAAATTGTAATACTTACAAAAACGCAAACCTTTTTTTTCAGCAGTTTCCTTATGACTTTTTTTATTTATTTTTTTCTGTACTTTTTAATGATATAACTTGGCAAGTTTTCACACACTTTGTTATAAACCTACTAAACGCAATGAGTCAAGTATATAATTTTCTATTAAAACTTGCCAAGTTATATCATTACAAAGTACAGAAAAAAATAAATAAAAAAAGTCATAAGGAAACTGCTGAAAAAACAGGTTTGCGTTTTTATAAGTATTACAATTTTAGGTATTTAATATGATATTTATTCAGAATTTACTTTCCAAACTGCGGAAAATCAAGTGTGCATTCCTGTAACTATTTTTAACTGAGGTCTGTGTATGGAACTTGGTACTTATTTAGATCTCACTTCTTTATAGGCGAAGCATTCCAATATTATCGAACTTGGCAGCCCACATTTATGTTTTGGGTGGGATTTCATTTATTTTTGTAAGGTTTATTTTCTTTTTTTCTTATGATTAAGTTAGTTAAGGAAATGTCTCATTTATACTAATTTTCAGATTTTTGAATATGGACTATGATATGCTTCTTACAAAGAAATGGACTAGTTTTTTTATTAAATTTTTCTACGTTTGCGTGGCAAAGGAAACGTTTTTGTTTTGTCATTTTGTATGCTGTCTTGTACGACTGACACGCTAGAGCGCATTGCCCATTCAATATCTTGGATTTTTCTTACACGTTTTCTATTTACTGATAAGCTTGCCAAGTCAGGGCGGTATAATGTACGTAGCCGGATATATTCAATTTTTACTTAACATAACATAACATAACATAACATAACATAACATAACATAACATAACATAACATAACATAACATAACATAACATAACATAACAGCTACAACAGTCCACTGCTGGACATGGGCCTCCCCCTATCGGCCATACTCACCACGCTTGGCAGGCGGATTGGCGAGGATTCCCTGGATGAGTATCCCTTAGTCGCTTTTTACGACACCCACGGGTAGAATTGGGGTGATGCTATTCTAAGCCGGCATCACACGGCATAGCAATTACAGCAATTTTTACTTTACTTTGACTAAATTACAAACCTTCGTAACGAATTTTAGGTCGGTACGACCATTGGAAGATATAGATAAATTTTTGTTTTAGTTCCTTAGGGATATGAATTTACACCTTCATTATTTTTAAAACTGACTCACACTTGGCCATTTTCAGATTTTTTCCTTTACCTTGACCTAAAGACCTACCTCCATGCCAAATTTCAAGTCAATACGACCATTGGAAGTGGTCTAGGTTTTTGATGAGTGAGTGAGTCAGTCAGTCAGTCAGTGAGTGTATAGTAAAAATAGCGATTTTCTGACGTCAATATCTCAAGACCTACAATAGGTACATTAATGAAATTTTGTATTTTAGATAAGTAAGTAGATCTCGACAGATACTAGAAATTTCATATGCGTAGATAAAATAGATTTTGAGTTATAGGTAGGTCGAACTTGGCCCAAAATGGTTCGTGTAATATAACCCACGGCCGGTGTGTCGGTTCTTTGCTCGAACTTGGCGGACACACTGCCGTGTGTCTAGATCATCTTGTTCATTCGAATCTATTCGGCTCGATCATTCAAGTCCACCGTTCGACCGTGAAATGAACAGTGTGGGAACTCATTCAAGCGGCTGCTGATTGGTTGCCTGACTACACCTGCTTTGAGTTCGAATTTGGAATTATTTTCAACAGCTAGTGGAACGAAAATTCCCTTAAATGAAGCATTGTTGCCACCAATGGACGAAATCGAAGGGTCAAAAGATTTACACCTTACAAGGATTTTTTCTCTGCCTACCTCAACACCAAAAAAAACATCTTGCACTGCGCTCACCAATCCGCTTGCCAAGCAGTATGCGGGGGAGGCCCATGTCTAACACTGTGAGCTGTTCTGGCTGTCATTATCATAACAGCCACAATAAAGTTCACTGCTGAACATGGGCCTCCCCCAAGTAGGGGGTATTTGCCATACTTACCAGGCGGGTTGGTGAGCGCAATGCAAGATGTTGCAATGCGATTGCGAAATTCATTCAGGGATTGAACCCCTGGATGAATTTATCCATTAGTCGCCTCTTACGACACCCACGGGAAAGATATGGGGTGATGACATTCTAAGCCGGCATCACACGGCAATAGGTATTTTTAATAGTAGTACAGCACTCTGCCTACCCTGCAAGACTTATGGGCGTGATATGTATGGAAATCATGGGTGCAACGGTAAAAACGGTAAAGTATACCCTACGTTACCTTTCTCAAGGTTGGTAAGGTACGAGTACCTACACTACAAATACTGGATTCAATCTACCTACGTGTTCAAGGATAACTTGTTATGCTACGATTTCAACTAGGGTTGCCAGGAGTTCGTTTAGAGACTTTGTAAGACCCCCTTCTAAGCTATAGCGAATCGTTTCGTCCCGCGCCGTAATGACAAACGTAAGCAGTTGTTCTACAGATAGGTACGTCATGGACAGAAAGGTTGTGTTCTCACTACTGCTACCAGTTATCCATAACAGCCACAACAGTCCACTGCTGAAACATGGGCCTCCCCCTATCGGGGGTTTTGCAATACTCACCACGCTTGGCAGGTGGATTGGCGAGCGCAGTGCATGATGTTGCATTGACAGGGAACGCTGCTGCCCATTCCCTGGATGAGTATCCCTTAGTCGCTTTTTACGACACCCACGGGTAGAATTGGGGTGATGCTATTCTAAGCCGGCATCACACGGCTATTGCTACCAGTTATCGCTACCCACAAACTCAGTGAAATACCTAATTCCATATCGTATTTGACCTATGCAATAAAATCAGTGGCGATCACCTGACTGAGCTATTTTTGACTAACGAAAAACCAAAAGAGGACGAGGATCTCAATACTAGATACTTTTATAGGATAGAGTTTTTAGAAAGAATCGAGAATACTGGCAAGCCGGCAACCCTGGAATTCGGTCAAAACTAGTTGCCATTCCTCAAGCTTCGTGCTGGCCACATACAAGTCGATAGCTGCCAGGTTTTTTTTTAACTCTACTCACATACATCTTGATGCCGCGCCAAAATGGAATAAATAATTAATTACACAAATTAATACCTATTTTTTTGCGTTGCCTCTGAGGTCTTCATTTTCGTGGGAAAATTGACTTGTTCTTGGTTAATAATTGCGATTATTGATTCAAGATTTTTGCGCTAGAAAAATGTGATTATAAGAGGCAAGATCCACAAAATAGACTCCCGACGCGACGCGCAACATGACATCTGTCAGACAAGCGATCGTCTGCCGTCTGTTGCCGACGCGTCTGTTGGTTTGTCTCTTCTGTTTCATACATTTGATATGGAAACGTTTCAAGCGTCGCGATGTTTCATTCTCACATCTAACATCTCCGACGAACAATCGTTTGACAGATACTATCTTACGTCTCACGTCTACTCTGTGAAGCTTGCGCCTAGCGAGGATTTTAAAGCACACAAAAAAGGGTCAAATCAAAACAAAAGTACCTATGCTGCCGATGTGGTGCAGTGGTTAGTACCATAGGTTAGTACGACTACCTGTCACGCAGAAGGTTCCGGGTTCAATCCCCGGTGGGGTCACTTACAACGATGATTCTAATTCACTTTGTGAATTTGTTCCTAGTCTGGTTAGGTAGGACATTGCAGGTTCCGTGCTTCGGATGGGCACGTTAAGCCGTCGGTCCCGGTTGCTGTCTATGATGGCGGTCGTTACACAACCTTGTCAGAGGCCTGCTACATGCAGTAGGCGGTTGAAAAACTCTGACACCAGGGTTCATCGGGTCGTTGAACGACTCGGTTTCCCACACGAAGAGAGGGTTAGTTGATTTGATACCCAACCGCTACTACAAGACAAGCCTCTGAGATAAGTAGTAGCCCAGCTTACATGGTGCTAACTAATAAACTTAGTTTTTTTTATGCTGTCAAAAAATGACGATAAATAGGTACTCAGCAGAGTCAATTTGTGTGGGACGACAATAAATATACCGATCTCGGAGACGACTCCAACAATTTTTAAGAAATGTAGGCCTTTTCAGGGGCGACAAATCGATCGATCTAGAGGTAGATAATATAGTAGGTACGTGTCATTATTTTAAATTCCCTTTTCTGAGAGTTGTTTTTAACTATCAACACCATCTACAGAACTACGGTTCACCAGCTGAAAGGAAATGTGGCACAAAAAAATCATACAAGCAATAAAGCGCAAAACAAAAAGAAACTTTCTTTGACCCCGACGTGATTTGAACACGCAACCTTCTGATCTGGAGTCAGACGCGCTACCGTTGCGCCACGGAGTCATTGACTATGCGCGCGAAATAGCGGTTCGCCTCCAAAGGCCGTCGGCTGTGACGTCATCTGTTGACGCAGACAGCAAACAGACGTTGCGTTGGCGGGAAACACGTGCGCTGATAAACTCCGCTGACTGAATGTTGAATTATGATTTCGCTGGAGATAATAATACCAAGCCAAGTAAAACATAAGGTAAATGTTTTCTTTAAGGCGTTCCGTTTTCCATACAAAAGTTCAATGGAGTTAAGTCTCCAAAGGAGACAAAAGTCGGATTAAAAAACTTGATGGGGAGTCCCGTGGGTATATAAAATTTTCGCAAAACACTAAAAAGATTTTTTAAATCATCAGATTTCCCCGTAAAAACCGATTCGCCACTTTACGAAAATAGATGGAGCTACTGTTGCAATAAATACGTTTAACTTTATTGTGCAGAAAATACTGATTATCTTTTAACCATAAGTAGTTTTGCGACAAATTTACGTGTGCCTTCATCATTTCACATTAGGTTTTTTTTTTTCAAAAAATCTATGCAGCTCATGTGTAACTCGACTGAAGTGCAGTTTTTCGTTTGTATGACGTAACGATTCACCTTAATGTAGGTACACAGCTGCTAAATATATTTAAAAAATAATGGATTACGCAGCTTATGACCGCCTAAACATAATTCCGGGCATAAAAACAAATAAATATGGCGAAACATACGTAACGTCCGTTAGTTCGTTTTGAGCTGCGTATCGCATGCATTAGGAAAATAATCAATGATAGCCTTTATTCCCGTTGGCCACCTCTTCCGCGAGTGATTCTACTCAAGCTTTACACAGTAGTATAACTTGAAATACCTATAGTTACGAAAATAATATGCTATAATCAAATACAAATACCTACTAATCAACTAGGTACTTAGTAAGTTTAAAAAAAATGCATTTTTTTAGGGTTTGGCTCACAGCTGGACAACGATTAGATAAAGATAGTTTGAACAAGCAGATGTATTAAAAAACAAAAACCCGACTGCGGTAATTTCAAAGTTGTTTTTGCGATAAAAATCCGCTATTTTGAATTTAAGATTTTTAATATAGCTAGTGTCACTCGCGCTGCTGAGACGAATCTAACGACACCTCATATGTCAAAATCCAACTATTCGTTTGGGTTGTAGCCCGTGAAAAATAATGTTCTTGTCCACATAAATACATACATACATACATACTCTCGAAAAACATAGCCCTCCTTCTGAGGCAGTCGGGTAAAAACTGTCAGTACATTGTCCAATAAGTACAACAATATTTCATATAGCGCACTGTTTTCAAAATAACCAAAAACTCGGATCTTATTGTGCTTTCAAAGGCGTTCAGCCTCGGAGAGGTAAGGTATTTTAGTATGTTTGTCTTCCTAATAGCCTTAACAAACTACTTTCATCGTAAAATAAGTACCTAATTAGTTCCAGTGTGTTACTTAGTTCAGGGTTTTGCAACTAAAGTACGGCCACTCGAATAAATTCTTTATGACCGCTACCAACCCCACTCCAGAAGACATGTCAACAAAGAATATGTATGAAAATTTGGCGTTATTCTTTGTATGTGTAACTCTTGTAATGATTTTGTGTAACCTATAATATAAACAAGTAGATGTGTTAAAAAAACAAAGAACCCGACTGCGGTAATTCTAAATTAGTATTTTGCTGTAAAAATCCGCCATTTTGAATCTATATTATTTTGTAACTCGCGCTGCTGAGACTAATCTAACGACACCTCATATGTCAGAATCCAACTATCCGTTTGGGCTGTAGCCCGTGAAAAAGAATTTTCTTGTCCACATACATACATACAAACATACTCTCGAAAAACATAACCCTCCTTCTGAGGCAGTCGGGTAATCATTATCATTATATATAATAAAACTAAGTTGATAAAATGTACGTGCCGATAAAACTTTTAAAGGATTCCCGGTACGATAAATGGACTTATATAGTACAATAGCCTTCTATCTCTCCTCGAACAAGAAAGTTCCCGTTTTAACTTTAAGGACGTATTTTTAAAGATATAAGGGCTTTTCCAATCCCTCAAATTGAAAGTTAAGTGAAGTGGCGCCATCTTTTGTCGAGTAGTCGAAATCCACCTCAAGTTTGTGATCTATATAAAATCAAGTTTGTGAAGTTTGTGATCTATATGCAATCTGTTTCAAAATTGTGGATTTAAATGCACTGTATTTAAAACTTTTTTATTAGACCAAACAGATACCGCGAGTGTAACCGCGTGCGGAAAGCTAGTATATAATAAAACTAAGTTGATAAAATGTACGTGCCGATAAAACTTAAAAAGGATTCCCGGTACGATAAAGAGACTTATATAGTGTGATAGCTCTTTATCCCCCCTCGAACAAGAAAGTTCCCGTTTTAATTTAAAGGGCGTATTTTTAAAGATACGAGTATAAGGGCCTTTCCAGTCCTTCAACACAACAGTAGTGCCATCTGTTGTCGAGTAGTTGAACTCAATTCAGAGTGACTGCGTATAGGTGTGCAGCGCGTGCGGTGCGGCTGTACTGACAAATGTTCGTTCGCCTTTATTGTTACGGCGGACGATAATGTCGAGTAAATTCTAGAAGGTGTAAAAGAAAATATTCTCAAACTTTACCGAATATCCCCGGGGGTTATATAGGTTGAAATTTTACTAGTGACCGATAAGGAACAACTTTCCCCAAGGAACATAGGTCGAAATCCGAAAAAATATTTTGGACCTTCCATACAAACTTACCGATCAGCTGATTTTAGTTACTATGGGAGGTCCAAAATTTTTTTTCGTATTTCGACCTATGTTCCTTGGGGAAAGTTGTTCCTTGTCACCAGCCGATTCTGAGTTTTCGCTATCGGTCACTAGTAAAATTTCACCCTATATAACCCCCGGGGATATTCGGTAAAGTTTGAGAATATTTTCTTAGTGAGGGAGACCCAATTTTTAGGGTTCTGTATTCTACTAGAAACCCTTATCATTTCGGTAAGTCTGTCTGTCTGTCTGTCTGTCTGTATGCCGCGCCCTAACAACTTCGTCAGTTTTGGAGCAATCGACATAAAATTTGGTGTGAAGATAGATCGTGTTGACCCAAATTTAGAAATGTTAAGAAAAAATATTTTTATTGTTTTTTGAACCCCCTTTCACATGTATGGAAAGGGGGGCAAAAAAATTTTTTCCACCTGATATACTAAGTAGGGAATCGTTGAATACTCGTATCGTACTCGGTCTTTTAAAACTAAGGGGAGGTTTCTTTGAAACAAATTCTCTAAAATGTTTCTGCCTCGAGACATTTCCTTTTAAAAGAGGCGTTTTAGAGCCATAATTTGTTCCAGCTGTAACTTCTAAAGTATGCATGCTAAAAATTTGAAAAAAATATGGAATATAGTTCCTAATATGAAATTATCATGAAAATTATAAGGAACACTGTACCACTTAAGATTCAAGGATATATTAAAGTTTTTTAATTTGCGGTTGGTAACCATACAGCTGGAAACAAACGAGCAACAAAATTAACTTTGTAACGCTGTAAGATACTTAAACGTTGACTGACTACGAAACCCTATTTGTGAGCGTGTCTGACACGCTCTTGGCCGCTTTTTTATATTTTGAAGAAACGTTTCTAATACATGTTATTCAGTTTTGTGAGTAGAACACGCCATTACAATTATTGTACTTATAGTGTAACTGAATATATTTAGTGATTTGATTATTATAAACATAAGTATCAATAGATGAGTGATTGAATAGAATATTTTTAGGACATCACTATTTATTTTTCTCAAAAAAGCGGCCACCCACCAAACGTCATTTTGGGGCATACAATTAGAAATTCGAGTATACCTATTCTATAGGACTTTACATCCGGTATGCGAAACTCATGAATGTTATCGTAAATCTTTTAAATTAAAACCATATTCTTCTCCCAAGGTATTTTACTGGAAGGCATTTTTTATGGACATCTCTTAGCCACTTAGGAAAACCGTTTGAATAAAACATTCTAAAAGTTCTCCCCAATTTTTAAGAGGGCGAGTGTTCATGAGACATTTTTCACTACTTTCTACACTTGCGGACAAAATCAGTAATACAAAATGACAAAAAAAAAGTAAATATTTCTTGGGGTTGCTGTGTGATGCTGGCTTAAGAGACACACGAGGGTTTCATGTGTATTCCAATTTGGTCTACATAGACTAAGCTCCCATGGACGAAGTTCCTTGTTTTAGCCTGTAAAAAGTGGCATGGAAACTTACAGTGTTGGAGCTGGCAACCTAAGCGGGTTCCCATCACCAAAGG